CCATATACAAAAGTGAATGGAATGACAGTTGAATCTTATTTTAATCCAGGCAACAGAATAGGGGTCTCTGCCACATTTGAGGGCAAAAGGCTACAGTAGGAGGCACAGGGCAGACCATAGGGCACATACAACTCAGACCACTCCTTACCCTTCATCATGTGCTGCCTTAGACACCTGCCTCACTGTGTCTAGCCGTAAAGGCTGAACCCAGCAAGAATTAAAAGTAAAGACCACCTCAAGAAGTTGGTTGGTAGGCTATAAATGTACTAAGAAAAGAAACATACACTTTATTTTTCTACATTCCATTTAGAGTCACTGAAATTCAGTCCAAGGTGACCAGCTGTTATGACTCTTGAACTGACCAAACTCATGAGATAACACATTCCTTATCTAAGTAACCACTGGCTGCTACAGCTTGGTTAGGACTCAGACGGAATTACTCTTTACAAGTCCAGCTGATAAGAACAGAGTCTAATTACTTCTTCAATTTTATTGAACTTCAGAGAACTTCAGTGAAACAGAAAGGAACGATTAAAGGGTGTGTATTGACTATCATTAAGCTGGCCTTTGGGCACTTTGTTGAACCCCTCACCATTGGCTGAAGTCTGCCTGCGTTTGGATACATAGTTTTGTGTTACACAGATACAAAAGTTCTTACTGTGAATTAGTGTGGTGCCAAATGTTCACAAGATTGCAGTTGTGTTGCAAAATTTCCATATTTGGGCTAAATTAGGTATAATAATCTTAAAAGAATTAGAAATGGAATAATAATAATAATAATAATAATAATAATAATAATAATAATAATAATAATAAAAAATAATACAGTAAATAGGTCATGCTACAATTTGTTCTGGTGCTAATGGGATCTTTTCCCTCAGTGCAAACAATAGCAGAAGTTTGTCAAATCTTTTTACTGAAAGAGGCATTTGATGATAAATTGGTTGTGCAGAAGGGTCTTTGTATGGGTGTATGTATGCTCTATTTTTATCTTTATTGTAATGTTATAAAAATGATGTTATACTTTTAATCTTAATGTTTTCTTTAATATGATGGCTTGCTTAATTGTGTTTTAACTTTTTATCATCTAGTTTTAACTTGTTTTAACTTTGTTGTAAGTCACTTTAGTTCCCATGTCCACCACCACCACCACCACCATCATCATCATCATCATCATATTAATTTGTATCCTGCCTTTCTCCCGATAATGGGACTCAAAGCTGTTAACAACATATTTTAAGCAATACAAATTAAAAACAATACAAACGTATTAAAATTATAAACATAAGTTTTAAAAAGCAATTAAACAATTCCTGGATTGGTTACATTAAATGTTAAACATTAAAAACATTAGAAGACATTAAAAAACTGCACATCAGCCTTAAAACAGGACCACACAGCCTATCTAAGGAAGGAGTTCCAAAGCCTGGGAGCAGTGACTCAGAAGGACCTTTTTCTTGTTCCCATCAAATGATCCTGAAAGGGTGGCGAGACAGAGAAGAGTCCTTCTCCAGATGATCTTCTTGACCCAAGCTGCATAAACCAACCCTTTGAATTGTGCTCAGACCAGCAGCCATTGAAGTTGTTGCAACAAGGGAGTTGTATGATTCCTGTAGCCTGAATCCAGGAGCACCTGCAAACTGCAAACCTGTGTTTTCAGGGGCAGTGTAGCCCCATCTAACACATGCTGACTCACTATTCCGGGGTCTGTCTTTCAACTGACCAGGAGCACCTTTGTGTTGTCTGAATTATGCTTCAATTTGTTTGCCCACAACCAGTCCATTACAGTTGCTAGGCACTAGTTTAGCCTGGGAACACCTTCCTTGGAATTAGGTAGGAAGGAGTGTTGGAGCTGGGTGTGTGGTCACCTTGGTCAACTGATCATTCCTACCACAGAAGGTGACCCCCTTATTTGTACTGGCATCTGGAAAAGGTAGGGTTTTCTTTTTTTGCATTTGGTATTTGTATGCATACATTCACAGGTCTTCCCCTTCTCTATGGGCTGTGAAGGTGTGCAATCAGAACAAAGGGAAAACAAGGCTATTTGATCAAGCAAATATGTGCATATGTGCATATGTTGCAGGAATTAAAAAATTCTGCAGCTGCTGCGGTCATGTGACCAGACATAAACTGATACAGCAAACACAGTAGAAAACCTCCTTGAACCAATATGGCTACATAACGGGTGTTCAGTGTGGCTTTCCAAACTGACTTCAGTTTGGATTAAAACAGGTGTGCATGTGTGGAGGTGGGACAAGGGGTCAAACCAGGGAAGGAAAACTAAACAGTGGAGCTAGGATACAGTCCTCAGGTAGATTCAGCCCATGCCACACTTGAAAAATCCTCTTTCCAGTTTTGTAAGTTGACTGGTAAAAAGTGTACCAAATGTGTTTTTTGCTTTGTGTAAGTGGGCAGGTGTATACTATCTGAATTGGATGTATGCTCAAATGGCTAAAATCTCAGTAAACATAGGGATAAATCCATTTTTAATCCCAACTAGAGTAGACCTACCAAAATGAATGGGAGTCATTTGTCACCATTTCTGTATGTTCCCTTGATCACAGTGGAGTTACTTTACTTGGGACTAAACTTTCAGTCTCTCAATTTAAATAGTACTTTGATGCTGTGATCAGTGTCAGCTGGCTACAGTGGGGTCTCTATGGAAGGATTATGAATGAACCCTTAAAGAACAGAGTTGATTGGTATTTTTCACCCACAGTGTGGGGCTTCAGTACAAATCCTTGTAAAGAGTGAGTGGTAGGTCGAAGGCATGTGAGAATAGGTGAATGCAGCAGAATTGAAGTTACACTGCTTTAAATAAGTAGAATTCTAAGCAGGGCAGATTCCTTTGTCCTGCTCCTGAGTAATTTAAATACAAAACAACAAGCATGCACCAGGTGCTTCCTCCTCCTGGAACATTGTTATTTTGTAGTGATTCCTCCAATGTGAGGACAAGATGACTGGTGAAAGAGAGGCTCTGAAGGCACCATTAACATGGTAGGTTGAGCCTGTTGACAATAAGTCAATGATTGTTTCTGACGTGACTCTTAAGAGTAGCAAAAGGACATCTGTAGGATGACTCATATTAATGGAAGAGAAGTATGTATGACTTGAGATTTAGGACAGATGTCAAGTTCAGAAAGGGGTAGTGTAAGGAAGATCATTTTGATCACCGGAGTAGCAGGAGACAACTTGTCAGATTGATGTCGAGTCCTTCCTTTTTATTGTTTTGGCAGTTCAGTGGCAACAGCAGAAGAAAAGGAAACATGCCTAGCAGCCACCTCAACCAAATATAAAAAACCCTAGAATTGAATGACTATCAGTGAAATGCATCTAATATGTTCCCAAAACAGGTTTGAAAAGAAGGGCAGTGATGAGCAAATGGGTAGGGAAGACAATACTTGGTTAAGAAGGGGCAGTTAACTGGGACCACACTGAATTTTTAAGGCTTCATCTCCCTCCCCACCCACCGTATAAATACTGCCAAACATAATAAATATGACCCCACTGATTTCATCTTCTCAGCCCTTCTACCTTTCATTGTCTGTGGAGGATTGCAGTGAAAAGAATTTCCAGGGGGTAGATTTATTAACTGAGTCCTGAAGTAAGAGCAATGTTTTCTCTATGTCAGAGGAGCTCTGAAGGGAATGGGTGGTGACCCCTAACAATGCTGCAGATCCAGAAGGATGGAATTTTCTCTCCTTAGAAACATTTGCTTTTTCCTTGGGAGATGCAGGAAGGGTAAAATGGTTTGTACATACCATAAATTTGGTTCAGGACTTTGTACATGAACAGATGTTAGAATATATGGAGCTATGGTACAACACAAAGGTCAGCCTGTGTCAGCAATCAAAACTCACTTGATTGTTGATGTCAGCTCTGTTTTTGCTATGCATGAAAACCTCTGCTTTTAGTGCTACAACTTCTAGAATCTGCTCTCTCTCTTTTAAAAAAGGATCTCTGCATTCAGTGACACTATGTCTAGCACTCATCAAAGCAATTCTAATGAAAAAGCAATCCTCACAGTCCATTGTCCAGCTCACACATCCTTTAGGATTTGCTAATATCACAATGAGTCAAGCCATAATTCCAGGGCTTCGAATGTAGTGTTTTATGACTGTGCTGACCTGGTGATGTCACACGGCCATTGGAGATGAGGTGTGGGGTTAGCAGCATGCCATCTCCTAGGAAACAGGAAAAGTTCCATGGGAGATGGGAGCAGATGGCTAGAAACCAGCAGCGGGAAGCTGGGAGGGGAAAGGAGCTGCCTAGGAGTTCTCAGGGCTGATTTTCAGTGGCCCATAGAGGAAATGTGGCTTATTAGTTGGCTTGCCAAACTTTTAACCCGACCTCCCCCTTTACCCCAGACCAAATATATCCACATTCTCCTCAGTAGACAGGATGCAGTTGCCAGTAAGTTCTGACACTGCAGTGATCCATTGCATGGAAATATCAACAAAACAGGACAGGAAAAGCTATAAACTGTCAATGGCAAGGCAATCAAAAGTGCCTGAATAAATGCCTTTCAAATGTGACCTCTTCCTCACTTCTCCATCTTTCTTGAATCTTGCAATCTCATCAAAAGAACTTTTGGTTATTACTACTTAGTAGGGTTTTAGATAATTGATCTGAAGATCTGTATATTGTTATGCTGATATCTGTCAAACTCAGCTAACTTTGATTTTGGTGGCTGATTTACACTCCTTTGGATATGTTTCTGTGCTTCTGTCCTTGTAAGCAGGCTTTGTGAAGGAAGCTCAGTGAGTAGTTGATGGGAAACAAGTGTGTGGCTTAACATTCCCCTGTAGTGCCTTTGTTGTTCAAAACATGGGTTTGGTGGTTGGAGAAATTATTTCAAATGACAATATTCTGGGCAAATTTAAGTTGCCACTTAATTTGCTTATCAAAATTAAATTGAATTCAGAAACATTGCTGTTGTTGTGTGCCTTCAAGTAGTTATGGTGACCCTAAGGCACTCCTATTGCAGGGTTTTCTGGGGATGGCCAAGCAGGGAATTGAACCCTGATCTCCAGAGTTGTAGCACAGTGCTCAAACCACTAAACCACACTGGCTCAAATCTGAAACATACCTACTAGGAAGCAAAATGTTGATTTTCTTCAGAGTAAATATGTTTAGGATAGCACTACATGGGTTTTTGCACTGCCTCTAAAAATTGGGCTCTCAAATGATCAAATGCCTGGTATCAAAGCATCTCAAAGCTTGGGTTTGGAGTACACTGTATGGAAATACCATCAAGGGGGTATGTTTCACTTATCACAGAGATGCAAATAATGTGGAGGAAGCATCTCAATTGAAAGAAAAACAGGACAGCCTAGAATATGTCAACTAAGATATATGGACATCATGCCATTTAGGGCTTTCTAGGTCAAAACCATCCCCTTGAATTGTTTTTGAAAGAGGCTACAGGCATCTAAAATAGATGTTAGAATAAAAAAAAGTTTCCCTTGTATGAGGTCACTGCTAGCAACATGATTTAACAGCTATCAAAAGATGGTGGGTATGAGGTTCAAGAAGACAGAGTCATCTACACACTTCGAAACCTTTTCACTTAACAGTCAGGAACAGAAATAAATACATGAAGAGAAAAGAGATCCAAAAGTAATTTTCTTGTCCTCCACTATGTCCTTCCAGATGCAGAAGAGTGCTATTTGGACAGAACCCCTCCTTTGTCCTAGGAGTTCCATGACAAGCCATGATAAATAACATGTTAAATATAGACCCAGGTAATTTGTTGGAAATAAAAGAAACTTGAAGACATATGATGAAAAATGATGCTCTTTGTAGGAATTTTGCGGTCAGGAGGAGCTCTGCATAAAAAAAACACCTCCAATTGTTTTACTGGGAAATTTCTAGCGAAGATGATAAAAATCTTCTCTTAGGACAAATGAGAGCATGTATGTAAGTGCAGTGGTAAAGGGTGTGAACTATGGGCCAAGAAGTCTCAAGGTAATATCCTGCAGTCTTCTGCTATGATTTGGTGTGATCTTAGCTGTATGGAAACAAACACACTGGCCTCCCTTATGTGGGTGTTAAAAGGTGATTGAGTAAACACAGGTTCTTCTAGAAAATAATAATCTCATTTTTTT